GGTGATCGTCCTCTTGAATATGGACTCGGAGATCTTGAGTTCGTTCTGAACTCGTTTCTTGGATTTGCGTCTGACGAGGAGCTGTCTACTGACTTTTCCCTTCCATTCAGCCTTGTTCTTGGACTATTCGATCTGCTTGAACTGTGAGAATAAGTCCCTTGAAGACATAGGGACCAGTGATGACTTCTCCCGCAAGTCCGACATGGGGGTGCGTCGCATCGCAGTCTTTGGTGTCCGGCCCTTAGACACTTCCAGCATAACTTCGATTGCACTACTATCTTCCTTCTTGCGTAGGGTGATACCACTTCGTCACAATATGCAGTTTTGTGCCTAGTTTGAAGGCAAAAGCTGCACCGTAGCTGTTTCTTTCCTGTCCGCTTTTCATTTGACAAGCTCCTTCTTTGTGATCCATCACTACGTGTGCTTGAGCTTCTTTGAGTTGACGGCCTTCTACGCGATGACTTATTGAACTGTCGTGAACTAGATTGCGGGTTGTCTACAACGCATAACTTTGACGTTGCTGTAGGTGTTGGATCCGTATCCTCCATAATTTCTAATTGGTCGATGACTTTATCAAAGGCATCGAGTAAATCTTCCGCAGTCCAGTTGTCATTTTTTCTCCGCATCTCCCCAACCCTTTCTCCTTGTCTTTCTTGGAAACTTAGATCGAATTATCCTCATGGTTGTTGTCGATCCGGGCTGTTCGTTCAAGTTAGCAAGTTGCACCCATATAGCTTTTACTTTGCACAATGTAGTACGTTGATCAGTTACGGCTTTTCCTGCTGGAGGCAGCGCCTCTAGTTGTTCCACAAGCCTGTTCCTTAAAACGTCTGGTCTATTATATGTACTAAGTAAAAGCTCTACTGCTCTTGGATAGTTCTCTGCAGATAATCTCATGGAAGCTATCAGGTCTCCGGCTCGTCCCTTAAGCTTACTCTTAAGGTGTAAAACTTGGACGCCGCTCCTAATGTCGGATGGTTGTGTACGGCTATGGAGTACAGTTCCCAGAACTCTGGGAAATGAACCATGTCTCCTTCAAACTCTGGTATTTCCAACTTAGGCAGTTGAATTTCAACTCCTGAAGTATGTTTCGTGTATTGTTTATCTTGCAGTTTCTCCTCACTTGGAGGAGTGTTCTCCAGGTTTGCTTTTATAGACTCAGCTGTAATAACCAGTACTTGCGCATTTGCTATGAGTTGCTCGGCTCGACT